GCTCTATACATTGTTTACAGAAGCAAACATTTAAATAAGGAAGGAATGGTTGATGATGGCTATGACTATGAGTACACATTCAAGTTTTTGCAGCCGTTGCTGAAGTCAGGTAAAACATTATACACTAGATTTTCCTTCACCAACCGCAAGATTGTAATAGTAAAAAAAAAAAAATCATTAAAAACGGCTGAATATATCATAATATTAAACACACGGATATACAATTTTGATGTGCATTTTCTACATACAGAAGGGTTTGGTTTAAATTTCAACTCTAAAATCTACCTTGGTTCTAGAAAAAATGTGTGGTCTAATGATTTGTCCTAATGGCTAAAAGATTAATATCATGGGTTATGCCAAATCGATTTTTATCTTCTACATAAAAATCGTTTTGTTTGATAAACAAATAAGAAATTGAAATAATTGGTTTTGCGTAGACAATACATTTATATTCATTATGTTTCTTTTTATTTGAAATTTAAAAAATCATTTAATTATTTATTTTTTCAATAACAAACATGTTTTATCATTAATTCTAAAACAATTCAACGAATTAGAAACAAAGGTATCATTCAAAGAATCAAAAACAACAAAAACACAAATAATTTTGCATAGAACTTTAAAAATATTAAAGAAAATGAAACCATAATTTTTTTCTAAAAACATCATAAAATGGCTCGAGGATCAGCCTGAGTCTTGCTAATACAAAGACAGTAAATTTAAGATTATTGCGTCTCCAAAAACTATGGAAGTAGATCCTTTACTGTCTTACTCTCTTGTTATGGATTAATCAACTATTCAAATTGAGACCAAGACATAGAAAAACCCTTCGTGATTGTTCTTAATTGTTTCGTTTGGTTTGAATATCATATCATATGACTTAGAAATGCCTAGTTTGAAAGTGAACAAGTCCGAACAAGATATATATATAAAAAAAAAAAAACAGTGGTGAAACAAAGTGGAAGCAGAACAAAGATAAATAAAGCAACCCAACGACCAAAAGGCCCAACTCAAAGCTGTGAGTAAACCCTAAGCCCATATTAAGTTGGTTAAGATCGGTTCATGCCAAAACGACGACGTTTATGCTACAAACTAAAACTCCCCGCCGATCAACTCATCGAGGAACCGATTCACCGCAACAAACGAAGATCCTCCGTCAATCAAAGCCTTCCTCGCCGCTTCAGCCATCTCCTTGACTTTTTTCCTCGGCGTATCTTCACCGTCCATCAGAGATCGTATAGCTCTGGCTATCTCCTCAGCTTCCACTATCTCTCCGTAGGCTGAGACGTAATCAAGACGCAGCTCAACGGCTAGTCCCAACTCCTTCACCATCGTGAACGCGTTTAGCTGTTGCTCGGCGTACATTGGCCACGTGGCGATCGGTACGCCAAACCACAAACTCTCAAGGGTAGAGTTCCAACCGCAGTGAGACACGAACCCACCAATCGCTTTGTGAGGAAGCACTTCAACCTGTGGGGCCCACCCGCAAACCAATCCTCTCTTCGCCGTCCGATCGATAAAATCTTCCGGCAAGAGATCGTACGGACAAGTCGATTTCTCCGTCGGATTTGTCCGAATCGACCAAAGAAACCTGTGGCCGGTGAGATCTAGGGCTTTAGCTATCTCCTTAATCTGCGGTGCTTCCAGGATCCCCAAGCTCCCGAAGCATATGTACACGATTGAAGACTCCGGTTGGTCCTCGAGCCATCTCATGATCCGGTCACGATCCGACAAGTCCAGATCCGGAGACGGACGATCCTCCAAGCTAAGAACCGGTCCGACTGGGTAAACCGGCGGGTAGTTCTGAGGACGACGAGCGAAGTAATCAAATGCGGTCTGCTCAAGACATATGAAGGAATTGACCAAAATGCCCTTGGCTTCAGGGAACTTCTCCGCCATCTCGACCCAAGCTTCGTAGGACTCTCTCACGAATAGACCCGGAGGCATAACATTCGTCGGAACGGAGCAGACGTAACCGGGAATTGCATGTTCCTCGTCGCCGGAGCTCAAATCGAGCTCGGAGGCGTTTATGCGATGTCTCTCAGGGAGATACTTCATCATACTCAAGAAACCAGCGTTACATGTTAAGAAAATGTAAGAAGGGAGGTTAAATTCATTTCCTACTTCGATCAAAGGAACACAGAAGAAATCAAGAACCAAACCAGCGACTCGAGGAGACACTAGAGTGGAGAGAGCGTCTCTGACGAGAGGAACTGTTTTCTTGGTGAATTCAAGAAGGTAAGCTTCTGAAGCTTTAAAGAAGAGCTCCAATGGTGGAGGGTTTTGGATTTCAGGCAAGGCATGGAGATGGATTTGAGGGGTAGAAGCGACGAGAGATTTAGCGAAGAGGTTGGCTTGAGGAGCTAGAGGTAATGTCCAATGGAGGATGGTGATTTTGTGGATGCGATGGTCACGTTTTAAGAGAGTTTTAGCGAATTCAATGGAGACAAGAAGGTGACCAGGGCCCGGAGATGGAACAAAGATGATCTCTTTCTTCTCCATCTTTTCTTGCTTCTCTCTTTTCTCTGTGTTTGTTTAATGGTTTTCTTCCTTGTGGACGCTATACATTGATTAGAGAAGGAAATATTTAAATAAGTAAAGAATGACTGATGATGGCTAAAGCCTAAAATAAATAAATACACGCATCCGTTACATAAAGTCGTTAAAATCATTAGTAGATTCAAGTGAACCCATTTATACTCCGAGAGAGACAGACTTTATTGATATTGTATAAGAGCATCTTTAATCATAAACTCTTTAAAGTGTCTAAATTCATTTTTTAATAATAATTTCATTAAGAAATCTGTCATTAAAGTGTCTTAAAGCTCATTACATAGAATCTCTCCCATTAATGTTCATAAACATTTATTATATTTTAATTATTTTCAAACTTTAAAACACTCTTAAAATGTCATGGTTAAGGATGCTGCAAGTGATATATGTAATAAGAACTTTATTGCAAATTTGACAAAATGCCTTGTTGCCAGTTTTAGCAAAATGCCAAAGAGCGGATTGTAAACAAAGATAGAAGCATGTACACTTATTAGACCGTAGATTTAAGATTGGATTCGGACCTTATCTCTCTTTATATTCTAGCTTTATGTTATACCTCAAAACTTTTGATCTTAGATTTACTCATAAAAATAAACAAAGTTTTAGATCTTTGATTCATACAAAATGTTAATTTACACATTCAAAGAAAACTCAGATTCGTACTTTATTTTGGGTCAACTCAGATTGATGGCTTTAAAATGACATCACAGAAAAAGCACAAGATATGTGAATATCTTCAATTTCGCTAACATCATTAATGAAAATTGTTCTTGTACTCTCTCTCTCTCTTAGATAGTTAGAGAAAGTACAAGAATAATTTTCTTCCATTATTAATTAATACCATCATCATTGAGCTTAATCCAAACTATGATAAAAAATAATGAGAAACGTCCATTACGAGAAGGAAAAAAGCTAACCACTCACTAACCACTTGTACCTAAAAAGGAACTAGACCCACTACAATACTGGAAAAGGAAAACTCATCTACTCCTTTTCAGAATTTCCTTGCAATTCAAAGTTCACACAAACCCGCAAAAGATTATTGTTACTCCAAAAAAAAGTGGTTGTGGAAAAAACAGAGATCAATTAATAATAGAGTTGATAATTACCAACCCTATTATCCGATAATAAATCAGTGATCATGTTGTACCAATACAGAGGCAATTCAGTTTCATAAACTTCTCTGTATTATACTCACACGAAAGAAATGTGTCTATTATTCATACATCTTTCCTTAACCATAGTTTAGCAATATCATATCCATGGTTTAACAAATGAAGTGTAATTAAGTTAATACAAGTATAGTATCCATGGTTTTACTTACAACTTAGACAGCCATTGTTTGTAAAGGATCTTTTTCCTTTGAAAGAATGATGGTTCTCAGTTTCTCACAGAAGACAGTTGCGGAAAAATCGTATTCCCTGTTGATTTTATATCAAACAAAAAGTGATGTTTAGAGACTCAGTAATTGTCTTTCGGAAGGAATGTGTTATTATTATAAGATGTACCTGGAGAGCAAATGTAATGTCTGATTCATCTACTCTCAGGCTAACTCTCTTTAGCTTATTCCCTCGAGCTTGACCGAATTTTAAAATCCCCTGGAGCAACAAAACACAATTTTTAATCAAAACCTGTCTGTCAAGAATTGATTTTTCATTCCTTTGTATGAACTGGAGATAGCAACTACCTGATCGTTTAGCACTGTACACATGTTCGTGAACTCTGTAATTCCAGCTGGAGAAATCGACCAAGATTTACATATTTCCAGATATAACTTATTAAGCTGCATTGAAAGTTGTGAGAAGAAAGATGAGTAATTCAGAACA